TTGCAGACACTTCCCATTTTTTGGATGCTGACAGCATCCTGAGTCACATGTTTCCACTCACTATCTTTAACCTCCATGGGTGAACCTACATCTCCATTTTAGAGGTAAAGGTTTTAGAGCTGAGATTTGCTCAAAGAGGCAAATCTAAAATAGTATTGCTAAAACTCGGCAGAGCTGGAATTCAAACTCAGGGCTATCCGACTTCAAAGCCTCCACTATAACACAGTGGAAGTGCTGGGCTTGACACAGGGCCTTTCACATTCCCAGCTTCAATAAGTATTTCATATATGATTACCCAACCCCCCCACCCCTGACCAGTTTAGCGACTGGTTTAATGTCACAGCCTGACCAGGGATGCGACTGAACATTTTAATCACCCTTTGCACATTCCACACCTACATTTCCTTTGCAGACTCCTTTATCTGGGAGTAAAACCCCATGAGAATGTGACTAACACCTTTCCTGGAGCTGTGCCCTGCCTTCTGGGCATCCCACAGAGGACCCTTTTCTCCTGTACTATCCAGCTGAGTCTTCAGATAAGACCTGTTAGAACTGGTGTTGGCCGTGAGTTAGAAGGCAGAGCAGCTGAAGCTACCTTGGCATCACAATCTTGAAAAGGACAATAGTAGCTAAGACAAATTATACTTGGAGACGGAAGCTTGGCCCTTATTCCTCTTGGCTGGGAGGAGCTGACGTGAGGTAAGGGGTTGATGAACCCTGTCTAGCATGTCTTGGTAGGTTCTGGGGTTCTCTGAAAAGAAGTCCTCGTGAAGGAGCATTGGTGCAAGCTTGGGAATTGGAGAGAGAGAGTGTAAGAGTAACCCTGAATGCACACAGGGACTTCTACCTGTAACATGCAGAGCTAAACAGATTAATAGGAACACCCCTGCCCGGCATTTCTACCTTAAGAATTCTGGTAACTTAAGAGCCGTGATGGGGCCAAACACAGGGTTAAGAGGTGGACTCTGAGGCCTGGGTTTGAATCTCAGCTTGGCCCCATTACTAGCTGTGTGACCATGGATATTTTACTTAATCTCTTTGTTCCTAAATGTCCCTATTTGTAAATGAGAAAAATTACAACACCTACCTCAATAGAGGTAATGTGAACTGTTATGTGAATTAAATGAGGTAGTATTTGAGAAGAACTTAGAACAGTGCCTGACTCACAGCAAGTGATATCAATGCTAGTTATGGTTACTACTTAAAAAATTAACATTCCAAAATTACCATCAATCTCACTATATGTAGATTATACTAAAACCCACTCTATGAGCCTCCAAATTTATTAATCATAGAATGATTTTGGGGACAGGAATTTTCTTCTTCAAATGCTACTCTCTGACAATCTAACGTCAAGCAATTTTTTCACTATATGAGATGGATTTTCTGACTTTGGGAAACTTCTAGAAGGAAGCTTGGGTCAGTACTCTTTCTCATACACTTGACGATTTCTAATTTTAATACTGACAACTTTGCAGCAACTTTGTTCATTGGCCTTAGTCTTTGTACAGTGGGAAAAGCATCGGCTTTCCAGGCAGAGAAGCCTAGGTGATTTGGGGCAACTTCTGTAAATGGTCTGAGCCTCAGTTTCCCTGCTGTAAGAGGGATGATAACAGTACCTACGTCACAGAGTGACTGAATTTTAAACATGAACATGAAATATTATGCAGACTGTCAGGTGCTTACACGATGTGAGCTAATGTTGTTCTTACATCCTTCTATTATCCTGAAATGTCAAAAGATGGAGAGACTATATTTTTCCTTTTTTATACATGGGAAGCTGAGGTCCAAGGTGCTTCTTTCCCTGTGCTTTTTATTTTCCAACTTTTAAAATTGTGGTAAAATATACATGAAATTTACCATTTTAGCCATTTTTGAGTGTACAGTTCAGTGGCATTAAGCACATTCATATTATTGTGCAGCTGTCACCACCATCCATCCATAGAACTCTTTTCACCTTGCAAAACTAAAACTCCACCCATTAAATATTAACTCTCCATTCTCCCCTTCTCCCTAGCCCCTGGAAACCAACATTCTATTTTCTGCATCCATGAATTTGATTATGCCAAGTACCTCATATAAGGGGAATCATACAATATTTGTCATTTTGTGACTGGCTCTTTCCGCTAACATAATATCCTCAAGGTTCATCCATGTTGTAGCGTATTTCAGAATTCCCTTCCTTTTTAAGGTTGAATAATATTCTGTTGTTGCATATACCACTTTTTCTTTATCCATTCATCTGTCAATGGACACTTGGGTTGCTTCCATGTTTTAGCTACTGTGAATAATGCTGCTATGAACATGGGTGCATAAATATCTCTTTGAGACCATGATTTCAGTTCTTCTGGGCACATACCCAGAAGTGGAATTTCTGGGTTATATGGTAATTCTATCTTACACTTTTGAGGTACCACCATACTATTTTCCACAGTGGCTGCACCACTTTACATCCCACCAACAGTGTGCAAGGGATCCAATTTTTCCACATCCTTGTCAACACTTGTTATTTTCTGGTTTTTTGACAGTAGCCATACTAATGGGTATAAATTGGTATCTCATTGTAGTCTTGATTTGTACTGCCCTAATGATTAGTGGTGTTGAGCATCTTCTCATGCGCTTATTGACCATCTGTATATCATTTTTGGAGAAATGTCTATTCAAGTCCTTTGCCCATTTTTGATTTAGGTCGTTGGCCTTTTGGTTATTGAGTTTTAGGGGTTCTCTGTATATGGATATTAATCTTCTATTAGATATATGATATATAAATGTTTCCTTCCATTCTTAGGTCTGTGTGGCACAGACCTAAGTAAATGTTCTATACAGACAAGAACGTGATTTGAGTCAAGGAGATGTTGAGTGTAGCTCAGAAGGAAACTGGCTCTTTCCACTTTCAAATCTTCAGGCTGCCTGCAGATGGTGCTAGAGCATCGTGTGCGCCTCTCTCACAGCGGCTGACAGCAAGCCGTCAAGGATTCTTTTCAAAAGAACGTAAGCTGTGACAAAGCGAGAGAGTGGCAGGGACATATAGACACTACCAAGAGTAAAATAGATAGCTGGTGGGAAGCAGCCGCATAGCACACGGAGATCAGCTCGGTGCTCTGTGACCACCTAGAGGGGTGGGATAGGGAGGGTGGGAGGGAGGGAGACGCAAGAGGGAAGAGATATGGGAACATATGTATATGTATAACTGATTCACTTTGGTATAAAGCAGAAACTAACACACCATTGTAAAGCAATTATACTCCAATAAAGATGTAAAAAAAAAAAAAGAACATGTGGAATCTACTCAAAGAACTTAAAAACAGACTTCCCTCAAGAGTCTTCAGAGGGTCAGTGAAGAGATGGAGAAGAATAATCTGTTTCTAATTTCAACAAAAGAGAGATGCTGCTAGGCCAGGGCTCCCACTGCCATGGGGAACTCAGTTCTCTCCATGTTCTGCATTGAGCTCCCCCATGTAAGGGCCTGCTCCACTCATCCTGGTATTTAGAGAGGGGTTTATATTCAGAGGATTAACAGCCCAACTCCATTTGGAGACTTGCTTTAAGGAAATAAAAAGATACCGGATGGCTCTTTCCATGGACGTTTCCACTCCGTTAAATGTCGATTATGCTTTGGTGGGATCAGCACCTTTGCCTGTCCATTGTATAAGGTAGAATTTGCTTTTATGTCTTAACCTCAAATACTTTCCTAAAATGCACAATTGTTCCTTCATCTCTAAACTCACTACCAGTGACTCAAGATAGGTCCTTTTCCTCTCTCAGTTGGATTGTTGAAAAACTTTTCATCTGGTCTTTCCTACCCTTAGGCCCTCTAACGCATCCTCTAAGAGGATTTTTCTAATATCTGCATCTGACCAGGTCCCACCACTGCCTAAAGTTCAGTATCTCCATTTCACCAGTAGGATGAAGTCTGAGGTCCTTAGCACGGCCTCAAAGCTCATTATGAGAGGACCCACTCTGTTCCCCCCAACACCCAATTTCACTCCCTGCCATCTCCCATCTCATACGTTGCATTTCAGAATTATGAGTTGTTGATAGTTTCCTGAATATACGATGCTGTTGCCACCTTTATAACTTTGCCTGTGTTATTCCTCTACTGACAAAGTGCTTTTTGGTTTTGGCCTGACAACTTCTTTTAAGCATTTAAAGTCAGCTAGACTTAACGTCCTCTCAAAAGCTTTGCCTCACTCCTACAGGGTCAAATTCTTTTCTGTTTTGGGTTACTTTGTCACCTGGTAATACTTCTATTATATAACCTATCCCTTTGGCTCGAAATGATCTACTGCATAAATAAGATTGTCTTATTCCCTTCTAAATCCTGCCTAGATGCCAAAGAGCATAATGCCTTGAAGATAGCAGGCACTCAATAAATTAGTGTTTGTGAATTGGGGTTAAAACATTAATCAAAGTTATGCTGACGTACTGTATAGTATAGGGAACTATACTCAATATTTTATAATAACCTATAAAGGAAGAGAATCTGAAGAAGAATATCTCTCCCTCTCTCTCTCTCTATATATATATATATATAAAATATATATATATATATTTTATATATATATATAATCACTGTGCTGTATACCTGAAACTAACAGGATATTGTAAATTAACTATACTTCAATTTAAAATAAAAGTCATGTTGTAGCCCTCAAAGTTACATGATGCAAAGGGTGGAGGAACAGACAGATGCTACCGTGTGGAAGACATAAGAGATCCCCATTTTAGAACAGAGGAGACCAGATTTACTGCTAATGACCTAGGGAAAAAAACATTGGTTTGAGAGTTCAAAAGTTTGGATTTGACCTCCAGGTCTGGCCCTATCTAGCTCCGTGATCTTGGGGAACTGAAAGTGACTTTACGTCTCTGAGACTTAGTTTTATCAACTATTAAATGAAAGGCCTGGCTTGCTGACCCCTGTGGTTTATTCCGGCTCTAAAGTTGCATATGTCTGTTGTCCTCATTCCTCAGCACTGTGCATAGAAAACATATAAACTTACCTTTTATCCTCACGTCTAGGAAACACAACTTTCCCAACTTTGCTCATTCTTGCCATTGCCTCCTGTCAAATGGAAAACAGAACACACAGAACTAAGTTGGAAAGTTAATACCAATGTGAGGCCTGTCACAGGCAAGAACATTCTTTTTTTTTTTAGTAAATTTATTTATTTATTTTTGGATGCATTGGGTCTTCATTGCTGAGCGTGGGCTTTCTCTAGTTGTGGCGAGCGGGGGGCTACTCTTCCTTGCGATGCACGGGCTTCTCATTGCGGTGGCTTCCCTTTGTTGTGGAGCATGGGCTCTAGGTGCACGGGCTTCACTAGTTGTGGCACGCCGACTCAGTAGCTGTGGCTTGTGGGCTCTAGAGTGCAGGCTCAGTAGTTGTGGCACACGGGCTTAGTTGCTCCGCGGCATGTGGGATCTTCCCGGACTAGGGCTTGAACCCGTGTCCCCTGCATTGGCAGGTGGATTCTTAACCACTGAGCCACCAGGTAAGTCCCAGCAAGTACATTCTAATTAGAATTTACTTCCCTTAAGAGATTTGGTGAGTCTATTTTTTTTTTTCAACTTACTTTCTCTGGTGATAAGATTAAAATCCAATGAACATTAAAGGTTACATCTAGGACCACACAGCCTGGGCTTAATAAATTGTTGCCTATTGAGACCTCCAGGGCATAAACAACCTGGAAGGCAAAGCACTTTTATTATGGCTTGCAGGGTGTGGTGGGAAGGAATTATTTCCCCCTTGCATTACCTGGACACAAGGGCTTAAGAAGGCAACATAATCAGCCACTGAGCACGTTGTCTGCTTAACTCACAACAGCAGTAACTGAACAGAAGCCACTCTGCACCTGTACTTTAAGACAGAATGTTTAAGACCTCTTCATTTCACTTTTAGTTCTTTTTTCCAGTAGTCTCTTCAACTGTGCCTATATAGATGTGAGACCTCTGGGCTGAGTCTAATGGACTTGACCTCAGGACTTTCTTGTCTTTACAATGTGCTTAGTGGGCAGTCAGCAAGTTGCAGTGTCTTGGTGGACACAGTCAGAGTGAACAGCAGCAAGATCAACCATAGATTTTGTGTTGGCTCCATTATATGAATGGAGAGGTCAAGTTTCCTCGGGTAGTCTCCCAATGCTATTAAGTTTATGGGGAATGGAGTAAACCCAAACTTTGGATTCCAAAGACTTACCTGGGGAGATTGCAAGCAACAGCATGACAAAGCTCCTCAGAATAGGTCCTGTCTTAGGAACAGCTATTGAACTCTTATTGTAAAGGATGTAGTCATTCTGAGGTCACATATGTACAACTTCTTACTCTCTCTATATATTAATTACTCAATATGTACAGACACTGTGCTAGGGATACAGATTTGCATAAGATATACTCTTTGCCCTGGAGAAACTCACACACGAGCAGAGGAGGAAAGAAGTGTAAAGAGCTGACTACCACACAGAATGTGAAAGGCCCTGGGTACCTTCAAAACGTATCCAAGTCTTGCCCATCGTTACCGCCTTACTTATGATTTATTTATTTATACACACACACACACACACACACACACACACACATATACATATATATTTAATTATATAAATAATATATTTATTATTTATCACTAATTCCTTTTTGACAATCCGTGTACTTATTGGTTTATGTGTTCCTTCTCTCCCTCTCCATTCCTTGTTCTAACCAAAACGTAAGCTACACAGTCTGGGAGCTTTGTCTATTTGCTGCTTAATCTCAGTACCTAGAATATTCATAAAATGTATTGAGCCCCTTCTATGTGCCAAGCACAGCATCCAATATATATGGAATACAGAGATGAAGAATGAATGGGTCCTTTCATCAAAGAGCTCACCACAGAATGGAAAAGACATTTACTGTGATCAAAATAGAGTGTGACAAATACTATGCTAGAAGCAGATAAACTTCTTTTCAATAGTTATTCAAGGATTAAGAAACCTGATACTTCTTCATCTGCTAATCACTTACACATATTTCCAATCTGGCAAGAATGTCCTACCAACTCTTCCCCAAGGACGCCATGGACATTCTGAACTAGTTATCTGGTTTCCTAGCCCCCAGTGGATTTAAAAGTGCTGTTTGGGAGATCAGAGATGCTGAGAGTAGCAAGCACACTGACAGCAGAAAGAAATGGTAGCCTTATTCAGGAGGAGATTTGAAAAATTATGAAAAATTATTGAAAAGGGAATCAAGGTGAAAGGATAAGAACCAGCGAAGGTCAGACTGGGGCCATTCTGCAAAACAGCAAAAACATCTTAGTGTGGTCACTGCCGTCCCACTTAACAAGAATATTTTAAGAGCTCTGCTCACCCCAACATATGTCATAACATTTTCCTTCATAAATTAAGTTCTGATTCCCTTAAAGTAAGCCCCATGTCTTGCTGAGATGGTCTCAGCCATCCCCATCGCCAACTTTGCCACTGGTTCTCTTGTTTTGGGATTGCTTCTTCCTTCATAGCAGTGCTCTGCTCTGCCTATTTTAGAGAGGACCCCGCCTCCTCCTGCCTGCCTCCTCTGAAGCTTGAAAATTCCCTAGGGGAATACTCCTCGGGTTGTGCTTAGGCTTCAGACTGGAGCCGACATTCCAGGACTGCCTTCATGGGTGGGATCCAGGAAACCTGTATTAGAGAAGGAGCTCCATAAATGTCACTTTCCTTCCCACTGTAACAGATGTGTGGACACAGGGCAGATAGCAGGGAATTCTTCTTTCCTTTCTTCACGTTACCTTTGCTTATTTTTAAAATAAATTATTGAGAAATAACAGTGATAGACATTTCAAAGGTTTAAAAAGAGGTTATTTTGTTTCTCGAAAAAGTACAGAGTTAAATATTAAACTTAGCTCAGGTGTTGATTCCACAGTAGGTTTTTCCTGACTCATCCCCACTACCTGCCTCCCACCTAGAATGAGTTACTTGCTCCCCAAGCGACTTGTGCTTCCATCTATCACAGCATTTATGATACGGCACCACAATTCTTTGTTAGCACATCAGCTGCCCCAACTAGACTCCTGCTTCTTAAGGCAGGAACTGTTATAATTGTTTCTACTGACAAACTCAGCATCTGGTGTATCGTATGTGCTCAGCGAATAGTCTACGGGATAAATGAACTTAAGGACCGTACACGTGAAGGAATGCTGAAATGGAAGTTTTGTCTGAGATCTAAAGTTGACAGATATGAGATACCAAAGTGAGCTGGAAACAGACCACCCTGAAGAATTTGAAAAAAAGCATAGTTGAGGACCCATAAATCAACTCAAACCTTTCATCCATGTGGAAGGTCAGAAAAAGAGATGGATTTTTTAGGAGACAGCTGTGTGTTGACTGAGCATCAGGCCTTCTAGGGGAGAGGTGAGAGTATGGCCTCACTGACGCCACAGGGATCTGGCTGTGTATCCCTGAGGGTGTGAGACATGGTGGGTTGAGTGCGGCTCCTGTCTGGAGCAGAAGCGCTGGCTGGCAGCTTCAGTGTAGCAGTGAAGGAGTGTTGCCCTGGGATCAGCCAGCACTGCCAGAACGTGTCAGACTCCAAAAGGCATGACTGCTTCCCATGAGCCTGAGGTGGCCACAGGTGAGAGGGCTTCCTGGGTTGTCTCAGATCCTGTCCAGTATGGCCACCTAATGAGGCAGAGGGAGCCTGCATAAAGAAGCTTGAGGCAAACTACTGGATTTTTTTTTTTTATAAATTTATTTATTTATTTTTGGCTGCGTTGGGTCTTTGCTGCTGCTCACAGGCTTTCTCCAGTTGCGGTGAGCGGGGGCCAATCTTCGTTGCAGTCCGCGTGCGGGCTTCTCATCGCGGTGGCTTCTCTTGTTGAGGAGCACGGGCTCTAGGCACACGGGCTTCAGTAGTTGTGGCACATGGGCTCAGTAGTTGTGGCTCGCGGTCTCTAGAGCGCAGGCTCAGTAGTTGCGGCGTGCGGGCTTAGCTGCTCCACGGCAGGTGGGAAACCTCCCGGACCAGGGCTCGAACCCGTGTCCTCTGCATTGGCAGGCAGATTCTTAACCACTGTGCCACCAAGGAAGTCCCCTACTGGATTTTTAAGGAATTAAAAGAGCAAGCAATCTACTAGAATAGAGAAGGACAAGGACAGGATACAGTGAGAGGTTTCCAGAAGTGGAAAGTCTCCAAAAAAAAATCTACAATGGAGCCTAGCTGTAAACACCTATTAAACTTAGCATGAAGTCCATTTATGACAACGCTGATCAAGATAAGAACTTTCCTACACCCCTGAGCTCTCTTCCCTTACACCTTCCAACCACCTCAGAAGAACAAGAAAAAAGCTAATATATACTGGAGAGAAAGTGAATGAGGAACAAAGAAGAATCTGATCACAGCCAACTCCTCACATTTGCAACAGTCCCAGCTGGAGGAGTGAGGAGTTGCCTTATCTTTGGATAAAAAATGAAGTGGTGGGGCTTCCCTGGTGGCGCAGTGGTTGAGAGTCCGCCTGCCGATGCAGGGAACATGGGTTCGTGTCCTGGTCCAGGAAGATCCCACACACCGCGAAGCGGCTGGGCCCATGAGCCATGGCCGCTGAGCCTGCGCGTCCGGAGCCTGTGCTCCGCAACGGGAGAGGCCACAACAGTGAGAGGCCCGCGTACAGCAAAAAAAAAAAAAGAAAAAAAAAAGTGGTGATTATTATATATTCCTTGGTATTCTAATGTTTGAAGTTTGGTTATGTCTCATGACTTAAAGGGACTATAAAACTTGTATTATCTAAGTGACTTTCTACTTATCTAAGAAAGTAATGGAACTAACAGAATTTTTAATCAGGGCAGAGAGAAACTAGCTCTACTGTACAAGTGTAAAGGGACAGTGAGAGTAAAAAAAACAGTTGTTTTTCAATTCTATCTCAGAAACTGTGTTACACATGTATAATAAACAATGGAAGAAAATATATTAAAATATTAACAGGTTCAAGAGCATGGGTGATAGCTTTTTCTATTGTTAACTTGTTTTTTCTGTCTTCTAAACTTTATATAGTGGCATATAGGGATTTGATCATTTGAAGGAAAATAAAACTGTACTGCACTC